GTGGGGTCACCTCTATGATTTATCTTACAAGGGTACAAGTGAATCTTTCTAAAAGCAGAGTATGAATGTCTTAATAACTAAGAAAATGACATGAAGGCTACGTTAATCAGTTTGATGAGAGTATTTCAAATTGTATGTGAAAACACCACATTGTACCCCATGATTGCATTAATATACACAGTTATGATTTAATAATTAAAAAAAAGAGCAGAACTAAATGAAATAGAGACAATAAAAACATGCAAAGAAAAAAAAAAAAAGAACTCTAATTTCTCCCAAATCCAAATGTCACCAGTAGGGATTAGTCAAGAGAGAGGAAAACATAGTATAATTTTTCTCAGACCTGGAATCCTGATTGGAATTCTCAAAACCAAAATTCCTGTCTGCCAAATGGCAGAAAGAGCACTTGGATCTATTCTTTAAGTTAGAAAAACATAGCATTCTGGGGAAGTTAATCCTTCTGACATATAATCCAAAGACAAAAGGTTCTGTAACAGTGAAAAGGAAGCTTAACACAACTAGCTCCATTTTGCTTCTGGCTGCCTGCAGTAATGTCCTTTAGGTTAAAATCTTCTGCTTAGCTCTGCACATAAACTAGAAGAAAGATGACAACCGTGTCTTTCCCAAAACTCACTCACTGGAAAGAAAAGAAAAGTAAACACCCAAGTAACAATGCTATGTTGTAAGATTTTTAGAGGCATCCTGACCTTCATCTTCCAAAGTTAACTGAACAAGAGCGAAGAAGTTTTATAACCTCCTCAGACCGTTGCTGACACCCAGCTGTGCCTGCAGTCCTTGTTTACCTCTTGCACCCCACCCCACCTTCCCTTTCCCTTAAAGCAAAAAGGAGTCTAAAGTTCATGCTAACTTAAGGTGGTTCCTTGGGACATTTGTCCAACATCTTCTTGGTTTGCTGGCTTTCCTTATAAAAGTCACTTTCCTTGACCTTCTCTCGCAACTTACAAGCTATCCTAAAGCAGATGGTCTGAGCTTGACCTCAATTTCAGTCCCATGAAGGATGTTTGTTACAGTCTTAACTTAAGACTGCTCCCCCCCATGGTAGAGCAGGCCTTTATCTCACAGCAGAGGAAGCCCTAGCATAGACCCAGAAGGAAAGGCTGGTTTCAGATAAGAATTGCTCAAATCGGTGTAGGAAGTTACAAATCATGTTAAGTTAATGTTTCTGCCTGACCATTTCATAAACTACAGTGTTCTCTACACCAAATGTCATTCTAATCGAAGGAGCAATGCGTTGATAAAACTTTCCTTATAATATTATTTATTTTATAAGGACTTCAGGTATATATTCATTATGCAGGACTTGGCTATTTTTAGAAACAGGAAAATACTTTATAAAAGAAAGAACACACTGGCTCGGTGCCTGTGGCTCAAGCGGCTAAGGCGCCAGCCACATACACCTAAGGTGGCGGGTTTGAATCCCCAGCCCAGGCCCCCCAAACAACAATGATGG